CGAAGCTCCTGCACTTTCATCCGCAAAATAGGCCGCATCAACATTTACCTTTATGAACATGAGGTATGGTTTCGTCCACTTCATCTCTCTATTATCATTTTGTTTGCGATTAGCTTCATGATAATTACTAGCAATTGCCAGGACGGACATATGCCACCGCGTGGGATGTGGTGGTCTACCATCATGAGTGAGTTCACGTCTTATCCACCATAAGTACCAGCTGCCCACCATAAGAGCTTGTTTGACAGTAATATTCGGTTTCAGTGACAAGGGTAAATCTGGTGCAAGGAGTAGATGTTCCAATATAACTGACCCTGAGCGATCGATCAACTTTGCTTCCTCAATCATTCCCGCTATGCCTAGGCGTTCCCAGAGGTGCTTGGCATTGCAACAATCAAACAGTAGGTGGCGGACATCTTCCGCATCTTGATAACATATAGGACATGCCCCATTAGTTCCAATATGACGGTTCGTGAGTATGGACTTTAGCGGAATAATACCATGTAGAGCACGCCAACAAAAAATTTGAATTTTACATGGGACCTTTTGTTTCCATAGTGTACTCCACACTGCTGGAGTTCTTGAGCCTCCAGGTCGCGCCATCACCGTTGCATGTACCTGGAAAGATCGTATCCATTGTACTTTGTATGCTGATTTCACAGAGAAAAACCCTTTATGATCCGGGTGCCATGCGATAAAGTCCTCGAAAGCCCCATAGTTGAGGGGAATTTGCAAGATCCTGTCTACATCAACCGATATGAATATAGATCTGATCAGATCCTCGTCCCAAAAACCAGTCATAGGGTCAATTAGATCATGAACTCGTGATATCAGTGTTTGCCCCCGATTTGATAAAACTCTCCTATCCGGACTAGACGGTATCCAGGGGTCGCTCCAGATGTTAATGTTCTCACCGGTACCAACCCTCCAGATATACCCCAACTTAAATGTTTCAATACCTTTCATAATGCTCTGCCACGTAAACGAAGCACCACTCTTCAGGGTAGCTTGTAATAAACTTTCATTAGGGAAGTATTTTGCTTTCAATACTCTTGCACACAGGGAATCCGGGTTGGAGTCTCAAGTCCCATGACTATTTCCTTATCAATTCCCAATCCCCCTAACCAAACAATAGATTTGAAGCCTCGTACCCCTTCAATTCCCATTCCCTAGCTCTAACTACCCCCAACCAAACATGCTGTTAATACTTGTTTTTCTACAAATGGGGTATCTTGGGTTATTATAAATGAACGGGAACACTAATGCCCACACGTGTGGGCGTTTACATCTCGCCCACACGTGTGCATCCGCGTCCGTTTGTGGGTGCATGAATCTTGGCATGTTTGTGGTGTCACGTAGGACTGGGCTGATGTGTGGGCATTTATCCAGTCGCACACATGTCCGTTTTATCACACGGAGGGGACAGTGTGTGGGCGCTTAGCAGTTCGTCCACACGCCAGTTTCCACTCACGCACAAAGGCTAGTGTGTGGGTATTTGCCATCTTGCCACACACGCCCGTCTCCTCTCCCACACCCAAGTTGTTAGTTGTCATGTGCTTTGCAGTGTACATGGCAACTGCCCTAGTGTGCTTGTAAGCAGGTGGCAATTCTTTTTATTTACCCGAACATGTCAGTTGCCATATATTTTGCAGGGTACACGGCAACTGCCCTAGTGTTCTTGTAAGCAGATGGCAACTTTCTCTTTTACCCAAACATGTTGTTTTGCCATGTCTCTTTGTAGCGCTACACGGCAACTGCCTAATGTTAGTAGGCGACAACTCCTAAGGTTTTCAAATCACGGCAACTATAGTAAACCAGACCATACATGGCAACTGCTTAGTGTTAGTAGGTGGCAACCTCTAAAGTTTTCAAATCATGACAACTATAGAAAACCAGACCATACATGGCAACAACTGCAGTTGTCCAAAATGGCATCTGGCACTTGACCTGAGATGACAACTGCAGTTGCGCAACCATGACAACTGTAGTTCAGCGACATGGCAACTGCAAGTAAACGGATATTGAAGAGAGTCCGAACCATGGCAACTGCGGGGACGCGTGGTGACTGTCATGCTGGGCGTGCGGGACCGTGAGGTAGGTGGCTGAGAGAGGTTGTGTGGGCGTTATGCATTTTGCCCACACGTATGCGTGTGGGAGGAACCGTTAGGAAAAAAGAGGCGTGTGGGTGCTAGTTGTTTTGCCCACACGTAGACGTGTGAGCTGGTCCTCTTAGACACCACACAAAATATGTGGGCAGATCCCTTAACGCTCACAGGTGTGGTAGTTATCGTCGTCCTAAATGAAAAAGGAAAAATGTGTAAATAAATTGAAAAAATGAAGAAAGAGGAGAGGCATGTGACATGTAAGGGGATGTCACCCCACCTGCTCCTTTTCCCCCTCTCCGAGCCGACAATGCCACTCGAGTCCAGCAGTGGCCACTCAGGGCATCTCCAGTCGCGCCCCCAGGAAGGCCTCCCCAGGCGATTTTTTCGCGCCGACACCGAAAAACGGCCCAGTCGCGCCCCCAGGAGCCCGATTTTCGCCGGCTTGGGCCAAAAACAGCGCCGGCGGACCCAGCCCGAACCCGGCGCGCTGGGGGGCGCCCGGGGGCGTAGGGGCGAGCTGTTTTGGCGCGAAAAAGACGCGGGCCAGCCGCGTCAGCGACTCGGCGCCTCCTCTTCCCCCAACGGCCTCGGTTCCCGCGGGGAATCAATGGCAAGGCTGCCGCCGGTCAGCCTTGCCATTGATTCCTCACAGGCGGCGCGTCACGGGACGGCGCGCCGACGCCTCCCCTCCCTCGCACGCGTACACACGGGCGCGGCCCGGCTAATAAAGCCGGCGGCCTCCACTCGCCTGTGCCCACACCAGCCCCGCCCCTCGCCGTCGTCTAGCCCCTCCCTCTCCCTGCCTCTCCCGAGCGCCGCCGTCCAGCCCCTCCCTCTCCCTGCCTCTCCCGAGCGCCGCCGCCCAGCCCCTCCCTCTACCTCTCCCGAGCACGCCCAGCCCCGCCGTCGCCATGGCAGAACGCTTCCCCGGAGACGAGGCGGCGACCAACGGCTTCGGCCGCCGTTCGCTCCGCGAACAGGAGTCCTGGCTCCAGTTCCAGGCGAACATCCCGGCGCCGCCGGACATGCGCGCTGGGCCAACGGGGTGGAGACTCAGCGCCGGGGGAGTGCCCATTCCCCCGTTGCCCGACGCCGTGGCGAAGCCGAAGTACTTCGCCGAGGAGGTCGAGATCGTGCACGCGTCCCTCACCGACGCCCAACTCTCCCTCCCCCAGTACGCCGCCGACAACCACGCGGCTTGGACGGCGTATTTTGAGCGCCGCCAGCAGCAGCGATTGGCGTTCACCAACGGCGCGCTGGTGGTCGGCGGCCGGCAGAACAGCAAGGGGCGCCACCTCTGGTGGGGGCGTCCCCGGGCGCACACTCGAGGGCGTGCTCACGTACCTCGAGGGCGGCAACGATCTGCCACTGGCGTACCACCCGGCGAGGGTGGCCGCCCCGGTGCAGCACCGACGCGTTGGGCCATGGGCGCCAAGGAGGTTTGGCGCTTCCTCTTCTTCCTCCTCATCACGCTCTTCTTCACACTCCTCCGGCTCTCCGGCGCTGCTCGGCGTCAAGGCCGAGCCCGCGGCGGAGACGCCGCTCGGCCGGCGCACTCGCAGCGCCGGCATCGTCATCAACGAGGGCGGCCGGCGCGCCTCCTCCTCGTCGGCTCCTCCGCGCTCCGTCAAGCCAAAGACGGAGCCGAGGCTGGCGCCGGTGAAGGCGGAGTTCGACGACGACGACGCGGCCCTCGAATGGGCGCGCCAGGACTCCATTGCGATGGAGAAGGCGCGCCGGGAGAAGGAGAAGGAGCGCCAGTGCGCCGCCCTACGCCGCTTCGAGGAGCGCCGACGTGGCCGCGAGGAAGGCGGGGTCGTCGTCTTATGCGACAGCGACGACGACGACGACGCGCCACCGCCTGTTCGCCATGGCGACACCGGGCAGGGGTCCAGCAGGGGCACCCGCGTCAAGGAGAAGAAGGCCGCCGACGACGATGGCGGCGACGGCGGCGACGACTTCAGCCCCTTTCTTTTTTTTAGATTAGGTTAATGTAATGTTTGGACGAATTTCGCCGAAATTTACCATTTTTGACCGAAATTTAATTAGTTTTTATCACAACTTCGCCCAACGGTTCTTTTTTTTAATACGCGCTTGGGGGGCGGCCCTGGGGACCGACTCGCCCCTAGGGCCATTTTTTGCGCCGGCTCACCCCCAGACGGCGCTTTTAGACGCCCCCTGGGGGGCCAACGGCTGGAGATGCCCTCAGGTAGATCTTGTGTTATGTACAACAACAACTGGTGCACTTTTGTCACGTCTACTGCCTTGGTCTCTTTACAACTACAGATAGTCATTTCGCTGCGTCTTCATGCACGCAATGCAATGCTCCAGCCATGATAGCGTGCCGTCGGCCAGCAAAGCTTTGCTCATACAGTCATACTATCTATCTGTCCACAGCATCTGGCCTATTGCTTTACGACCATCAGCCAGCTTTGTTTTTCCCGAATCACATGCTCCCTTATTTTATCTCCTGTGAAGTACGAAAAATAATACGGCCCACTCTGGGTCTTGGGCTGAATATATTTCCCGTACACATGTCTTGTTCATGGGCCAAAGGAAGACCAAATCCCCATATCGAGAGGTGGGAGGCCCAGTACAGAGTGATGTGACATACGGCCCAATAGAAGCAACGCCCTATCCGGCGGCGGCTATCCCCATCGCATAAAAAGCTGGGAGGTGAGGCTAACCAAGAACCCTAGCCTCCGGATCCATCCATCCGCCCCTCGCTGCCGCTGCGTCTCGTCTCCACCACCCCACTTGCCCCCGGTGAGCAGTGCCCCCCATGCTAATCCAGATCCGCCGGAAAATCCAGTCGATTTCAAGTTTGCCCTTCTCACCCTCCTGTTTTCGTTGACCTCATCGGTGTTGTTCCAGGACTCAGGAGGATCGTCGGAGATGTCGGACACCGATGAGCACCACTTCGAGTCCAAGGCCGACTCCGGCGCCTCCAAGACCTACCCGCAGCAGGCCGGCGCCATCCGCAAGGGTGGACACATCGTCATCAAGGCCCGTCCCTGCAAGGTCTGTGCCTTTTCCGATCTGTTCTTACCATATGAAAGCTCTTATGTCTGGTTGGTTGATCGATGCGTCTGGGGATCTGCTGCGGCGATCTGTGCTAGTCGGGTGCAGATTTGCAAGTTGTTAGATCTACAAGTCAAAGTACCAGGCTTTGCTGTAGATGTGGATGGATATGCACTGGTTCATGATATCTGTTGGCGCTACAAATTTACCTTGATTTCCTATATCCACCGCTATGGCTTAGGATCTTTTCATTAGCTCCGACTGTGTCCTCAGTCCTGAATTAATTTTAGGAATATTGTTTCAGTAAATCTTAAAACGCTTCTAGATTTGGCAAAGGTGCTAATTATAGGCGATGTCCGTTTTACAGGGAATTTACGGATTGTTTAATTAGTAGTTGGCATAGTTGTAGTTTTCATAGTTTGCTGATGCATTCTATTTATTCAGTTTTTGGACGCTGATTTAAGTACTATTACTATTTCTGGTTATGTAGCTGCTACCACTCAGTAGTTGTTGTTCTTGTATCAGTTTAAAGCTGTGCCGATATTGTTTCATTTGATTATGCGAGTGTTTCCTGTTGGGTTATTGTTGCTTTGTTTTACTATGCGCATCTGATTGTCTAATTGCTGCTCCAAACTCAATAGTTCCTGCCTGCCACCAGAAATTGCTTTGTGGTCCAGCATGTTCTGAAGAATCGTTTTGGTTTAATCTTTGTGCTAGGTTGTTGAGGTCTCCACCTCCAAGACTGGGAAGCATGGTCACGCAAAGTGTCACTTTGTTGCCATTGACATCTTTAATGGAAAGAAGCTTGAGGATATCGTTCCTTCATCCCACAACTGTGACGTAAGCTACACGGAAATGCTTCATTTTGTTGGTTTCTTGTTATTCACTCAGCTGATCTTATTTAGCCTTCTCTGTTGTGGTATTTGTTCAGGTCCCCCATGTTGACCGCCAAGATTATCAGCTGATTGACATAACTGATGATGGATATGTATGTTTCATTTTCAATCTCTCCTTCCTTTTCCATTTATGTGCAAAGCATTACCCCTATTTCTAACTTTGTGATGGCTTTCTACAGGTCAGCCTTCTAACTGAGAGTGGCAACACGAAGGATGACCTGAAGCTTCCCACTGATGATGTTCTGCTTGGCCAGGTCTGTGCTTTAGCTGTTAAAACTTGTTATGAGGCACATCATATCTACCCATTGCACTCTCTTGATGTTTCTTTGCTCTGTGAAATGCAGATCAAGACTGGATTTGCTGATGGCAAGGACCTGATCCTGTCTGTGATGTCCGCCATGGGTGAAGAACAGATCTGCGCTGTGAAGGAAATCGGTGGTGGCAAGTAAGCAGCTGTGCGTGGTTGCCTACCTGCGATACTTGGTATCTAGTGCTTCTGGGTGTTTGAGATACACATACATAGGCATCAAGATATCTGTTGGGTGAAACAAGTTTGATCCAGATTTGTGTGTTTTTTACACCGAATGCTCGAGGTGCTGCTAGTACTTTGTTATCTATCTATCTATCTCTATTATAATACCCTTTGGAATTGGAACTGAGTGGTGGCTGGAACTTAGATTCCGGTTTGCTCATCCGCCCTATCTCTATGAATGAATTGGTTTGGGTTATTTGTGGTTTGACTCTTCTGCATTTTCTGGTTTATTGTAGTGGGAGAAGAGTAGTTTAGGATTTTTGGTCATCATTTGGGTTGTCTTATCTGGGTTAATGCTATGTTGGCGGATTTTCTCCAGAGGTTTGGCATGCCGTTGCCTAAAAATATGCGACGTGTATGGCCCTCCTTTGCTCGTAATCTTAATCATCTTGTAGTATAGCGACTTGTTTCTTGAACAACTCCACCGTGACTGACATTGATTATGCCCTGTAGTTCTAATCAAACTCAACGCAAATGATTCTACACTTCTCTAGTCCCTGTTTTCCAGGAAGCGTATTTGAGAAGGAATGTTAGAGAAGCTATATTACCCTAACTTTCCTTCTTTCTGTTCGTATGATTATGGCTAAAATGATTTAAATTAATTTTCCAATTGATGATCTTCTGTGTATATTTATAGTAATTACATGCAAACAAATTGATGGTGAAATAAAATAAAATTTAAATTATTTATATCTATAGTAAATACCAACACTAAACAACCTATTAACTATCTACTAACAGCTCCTAACTTTCCTATTAACTATCTACTAACAGCTCCTAACTTTCCTTCTTCATTTTACACTAGGCTGACACTGTAGCACCGTGACATTCCTTCTTGATGTTAGAGGATCCGATTTCTGTTTTCCATGCGAAGCATCTTCAACTAATATCCTTTCCTTAGAAAACTGCCCATGGTGCGGGAGATGAACAATAAACTCCTATTATCCCATTCCCATGTAGAGGTGAAGTTTGCATCTCCCCCAATAATTTGCAAGTTTGCATCTACCATGTCTCCGGAAATTCCTGCTCCTGCTCAGTCACATCCGTCTCTGCTTCACCTGTTTCTGGCGCATAGGGCATGTTGTGGAACTCACTCTGCATGCTTTTTTTTTTCCATAACGCGGCAACAGCAAGAAGAAAAGGAATCAGATTAAAAAATTGCTTGGGGATGACGGAGTCTGGGTGCAAGATACGGAAATAAAGGATTATAAAGAGTATTTTTCAAAACTCTTCACATTAGAAGTCTCTGAACCAGACCCGGACTTCTTTCTCTTGTTAAAACAAAAGTGACATGAAATGAATAGGGCCCTCATGGCCCTATATACGGCAAAGGAAGTTAAGAAAGCCTTATTTGACATTGATGATTTAAAAGCGCCGAGTCCATATGGTTTACACGCTATTTTTTATAAGAGATTTTGGTCTATGTTGGAAGAGGACTTGACAAAAGAGGTCCTTCAGGCGATGAATACATATTCAATACCGGAAGGATGTAATGATACTGCAATTGTCATGATCCAAAGGTTAACTCCTCAAAAAAGGTTACTCAATTTAGATCTATAAGTTTATGCAATGTGGTGTATAAGGTTATTTCAAAAATGATTTTGAAATTAATTTTGTCAGATATTATCAACCCAACTCAGAAACTCAGAGTGCTTTTGTTCCTGGGAGACTAATCACACAGATAATATTCTAGTAGTATATGAGTGTTTCCACACAATTAAAAAAAAAGAACGAGAAGGGAGCGGCTGTGTGCAATCAACTTGGACATGCACAAAGTTTATGACAGAGTGGAATGGTCTTTTCTAAAAGCAATTTTGGTGAAGCTGGGATTCAAGGAAAACCGGGTGAATTTGATTATGCAATATGTGTCCTCTCTGGAGTACAGGGTTCGATTTAAGGCAGATGAGACAGGGGGACCCCCTCTACCTCACTTATTCCTGTTATGTACGGAGGGACTGACTATCCTGTTAGACTGCCCTGTTACTGTCTCGGGCCACGTAATGGAACTCAAGCATTTCGAATCAAGCTGATATTTTGAGCATGGCACTGCGGTAAACCGCCATCTTTGGATCTTTTGCGTCGAATTCACTGTTTATTTAGGATATTGCGAGATTTGAATCCCCTTGCACCTCGAGGCGTTGTATACCCATGGAAACAACCATCCGAAGACCATGTAGTAGTGCCTCATATTCGGCTGCGTTGTTAGAGTCTGTATACATGATTTGCAATACATAGCGGACTGTGTCCCATGTAGGGTATGTTAGGATGACACCGGCTCCCAATCCGGCTAACATTTTAGAGCCGTCGAAGTACATCACCCAGTTGGAGTATGTGCCGTACTCTTTAGGGAGTTCGGCTTCTGTCCATTCGGCGAAGAAGTTGGCTAACACCTGAGATTTAATGGCTCGGCGTGGCTGGTATGTTATTTCAAATGGTAAGAGCTCGATAGCCCATTTTGCAATTCGGCCGGTGACGTCTCGATTATTTATGATGGTCATTGAGGGGTACCTCGAAGGCCACCGTGATCGAACACTCTTGAAAGTAGTGTCGTAGCTTCCGTGATGCCATGAAAACCGCATATGCTATCTTTTGATAGTGCGGGTATCGGGATTTGCATGGTGTGAGAACCGCCGATACATAGTATACTGGTTTATGGAGCGGGAATTTATGTCCCTCTTCCTCTCGTTCAACGACGAGCACCGCGCTCACCACCTGATGAGTTGCAGATATATACAGTAGCATGGGTTCGCCAATGTTAGGTGCGGCAAGGATTGGATTGCTTGCAAGCAGAGTTTTTATTTCTGCCAGCCCGGCTGTTGCCGCCTCCGTCCATTCAAAGTGGTCGGTACGCCGAAGCAGGCGATATAATGGCAGCACCTTTTCTCCCAACCTGGAGATAAAGCGGCTTAAAGCTGCCACACACCCAGCTAATTTTTGGACTTGTTTTAGGTCTATTGGAATTGCCAACTATGATAAGGCTCGGATTTTGGCCGGGTTTTCCTCGATTCCTCTATTGGAAACGATGAACCCGAGCAGCTTTCCGGCCGAAACGCCGAAATCGCATTTTTCCGAATTGAGCCGTATGTCATATGTTCGAAGGTTGTCGAATGTAAGACGTAAATCTTCCACCAAAGATTCTACATGTTTAGTTTCGATGACTACATCATCTATGTATGCCTCCACCGTCTTGCCAATTTGTTTTTCAGGCATGTTTGAATCATGCATTGGTAGGTGGCACCGGCGTTTTTGAGTCCGTAAGGCATAGTGTTGAAGCAGAAAGGCCCATACAGGATAATGAATGCCGTGGCGGCTTGATCGGATTCCTTCATCTTAATTTGATGGTATCCGGAGTATGCATCGAGGAAACATAATGAATCGTGTCCTGCGGTTGCATCGATAATCTGGTCAATGCGGGGTAGAGGGAAGGGGTCCTTAGGGCAGGCTTTATTGAGGTCTTTGAAATCGACACAAAGGCGCCAGGACTTGACCTTCTTTGGCACCATGACCAGGTTTGCTAGCCAATCCGGGTGTTTTATCTCTCGAATAAACCTGGCTTCAAGTAGTTTGGCTAGATCCTCCCCCATAGCTTGTCGCTTGGGTTCGGAAAATCGCCGAAGCGTCTGTTTGACTGGCTTGAACCCCTTTATTATGTTGAGGCTGTGTTCGGCCAGTCTACGTGGGATTCCTGGCATATCCGAAGGGTGCTAGGCGAAGATGTCCCAGTTCTCGCGCAGGAATGCTCTTAGAGCGGCGTCGACCGTCGGATCCAACTGTGCTCCGATGGCTGCTGTTTTATTAGGATCCATCGTGTGGACTTGGAATTTGACTATTTCGTCTGCTGGCTTGAAAGAAGTGGATTTAGGCCTCTTATCAAGAATTACGTCATCTCTGTCCATTGTGGAGCGCAGAGCGGTGAGCTCCTCGACCGCGAGGGCCTCAGATAGTGCCTCGAGGGCCAGGGATGCGGTTTTGTTTTCGGCGCGGAGTGCTATGTCTGGATCAATGGCGACAATGATGACTCCGTTGGGCCCGGGCATTTTGAGTTTCATGTACCTGTAATGAGGTATAGCTTAAAATCGTGCGAAAGCATCTCGCCCTAACAGGGCATGATATCCACCATCGAAAGGTGCCACCTGGAAGATTAATTCTTCGGACCTATAGTTTTCAGGCGTGCAGAATACCACATCAAGTTTTATTTTTCCTGAACACCGTGCTTCTCGATTGGGGATAATACCTCGAAAGGTTGTACTTCTCTACTCGATGCGGCTCTTGTGTATTTGTATTTTGCCGAGTATGTTCTCATAAATGAGGTTTAACCCGCTACCTCCGTCCATGAGCACTTTAGTAAGCCGAAAGTCGTCCACAATTGGGTTTAGGACTAAGGCGGTTGGTGCTCAGACTGATCGGGTCCGTGGTTCGTCAGTGGCGTTGAAGGTTACCGCCATGTCGTTTCAAGGGTTTATTGCGGCTACTTGGTTAACTTTGGCGAGGTCCCGAAGTGCCCTTTTATGCCGATTATTTGAAGAAAAGGTCTCGAAGACTGTGAATACATTGAGATCATTATCCTCAGAGGGGTACTTCTCTGGGGTAGTGTTGGTGAGGATTTCCTCACCGCTCTTAGCCACCTGCCGGAGTATCCAACATGCCCGAAGGCTGTGTGTTGGTTCGGAATTTGGCGTCGCATGTATCCTGCAGGGCTTGTCGAGCCATTCATCGAGAACAGTTCTTCGTCCCATTAAGGGCTTACTTTTCTTGTCCGTGAAGCTATGATCAGGTGTCCCATGAGGGAGCATCCTTTTTTTCCCGGCCGGTGGGTGTCTTAAAGGCCGATGGTTCCCACCGAGCTGTCTGGGCTTTCCAGGTGCTTTCCATTGCACAATACTTCTGTACTATATGTGCCAAATCTGCAAAGTGCAG